TGCTAGGTGCTTTTGGAAGAAAAAGTTGCTAGGGTAATCTGAAAAGATGCTAAATATAGCAACAAAATTGCTAAGTTGGCAACACTGGATGCGACTGAATGTTTCGGATTCACTAACAACAACCGGCTCAAAAGAGTCAATCGTTCGGAAATGGGACTAAACCAATAAGACCGTAAGAGTCGTTCGCTCCGGAATGATACTACTCTAGTTACTGTAGCCCAGGGCTGTCCAAACTCGGTCCTGGAGGGCCGGTGTCCTGCAGAGTTTAGCTCCAACTTGCCTCAACATCTTCAAAATATCTTCTTTTATGTTCAACATAAGAAAGCAACTCATACAGGTTTGGAACGACATGAGGGTGAGTAAATGATGACCGAATTTTAATTTTTGGGTGAATTATTCCTTTAAAATAATTCAATTCTTGTAAAAAAAAAAAAAAAAAGTAAGTATAAGTTGCTGTTCCTATAGCAACTGTAAACAGCCAACAGCCAATATTCATTCTGATTATTGTTCATAATATAAATTGTAATGTAAAATGTAAGTAAATGTAAATGTATAACAATAATTTTATTATAAAATATATTTATTAAAAAAAATAAAGTTGTCTTTTATTGGTATATCCTCTATATTTTGTAAAAATAAAAAATATCACTGTAAAACTTATTGCTTTATTATGCACATGGAATTTAATTAGCAGGTGTGTCCTCCTGTTAAATGTTTATTAAATCATTAAATTAGCCTATTTAATAATATAAAATAATGTTTATTAAACGATTACATATTTAAAGAGAAAATCAATTATTTTGTAAGATTTCCCGAGTGAAAGTTAATCTATTATTAAATGATTCTGAAATACACAAACATCATTTGTCAGACTTTTCAGGTCATTTTTGAGCTCACCCAGCATTTTGACCGTTTGTTTATTGTTCTTTTCCCGACTCGAAATGGGTCCGACAGGATTCTCCTTTCTTCTCCGCAGTCTTCTGCCTATGAGGCTGTATAACACTGTCAGACAGAGGACCGGGAGGAAGAAGAACACGCTGGAGACCCACACCATCATAGTAAGCAGTCCGGAGCGGATGGCATATTCGGTCGCTTTACACTCATTGGTCTCCCAGCGGTTGGTGCCGTTCTCGTGCTCGACCCCAACCAGAATGAATATGGGTGCCGCGCTGCACAGAGCCACAGTCCAGAGGAGGAAAATCACCCCTTTCACCCGACCCCGCGTAACGATGACTTTTGCCCTGAAGGGAAAACAGATAGCGAAGTATCTCTCCACGCTGAGGGCGGTGATGTTGAGGATGGTGGAGTACGTGCAGCTTTCGCTCACGAACTGAAAGAGTTTGCAGAGCTCGTCGCCAAAGTTCCACGGTCGGTACCGCCAGACCCGGTACAGGTCGAGGGGCATGCAGAGGAAAATGATCAGGTCTGAAAGTGCCATGCTGCAGAGGTAAAGGTTGGTGGTGGTTCGCATGTCTTTGTATTTAGTGACCACCAGGATGGTCAACAGGTTCCCAGCGATTCCGACGAGGAACAGGAAAGAGCACGTCACTGTGATGCCAGTCAGGATAGGGACTGGGAAGAGATGGACCGGGTACTCAATGTCATCAGCAGGTGCATTACTATCCATAATGTCCTCCGCGCATAAAGTGATGATGAACGGGCAGCTGGACACGTTTGTCCAATTAGTCATTATGATGAGATTTTAGAGGATTTGCATGGGCTTAATGGCACCTCGTGATTTCCACTCAGCTGTTGTTTCCATGCACATCTTACAGGTGTTCAATGCACACTGCACAGTATGAGAAGTGCACGCGAGTAACCTGTCAATGATGCGCCCCGAGCTGCGCGCAGGGGGTACACGATCCACTACACGCGTGCGCACTGGAAGTCTTGACTAATTCTGCTGTTGAAATGCAGATTTAGTGCAAACTCTCTTTTCGTTTGGGATGTATTTTGTGTGCTTGCAACTTTTCTTAGCGTTTAGAAAATTTCTAACAAATAAGAGACAAATAACGCTCTTCGAGCGACCGAAAGTTGATTTACAAGGTGAAGGGCATTTTTTTGTTCGTTTTATGCCACCTGGCGGTGTGACCAGACCATCTTATAGGTCACCGAAATAATAAATCCTCGTGCTTTGCTTGAATAAATAGTATAGCTGCTGCCGTCCAGGGTGCTGAAAAACGGCTGCTGTTTGTTTGGCCATATTTGCTTTTTTAATATAAAATTGCTGGATTTTAAACTAAGATTTTTCTCTTATCTGTTGTATCACTCTAAAAAATATAGTTCTTTAAAGGTTCTTTACACATAGTAGTCTATTTAGAACCATATCAGCCTTGTGACTTTTTCTCTTGTTAATTTAACAGAACATGTAAGTGTGACCTGTTCTGTTCAAGGATACTTCTCTCCTCCTCTAAGTAACAGAGATGTTGAATTTATGTTTTTAAATTATTACTAGGGTTTATGTGTAAACATGCCCAATCACAATAAATAAATAAAGAAACAAATAAATAAAAATAAACCTAGAGACACACTGTAACTTTAAACTTAATTGTGCATTTCCTATGCTTTCACGCCCAACAACATCATCATGTTCAATGCCAAGTGTCATTTATGAATGTATTTAGCTAATAAATGTTGTTAGAGTACTGTCATTTTTGCTAGAATAAAAAAAAACTAATAGTGGCTTATATAAGACCAAGGAGATAGAGGGGTAAAAACAATATAAATAAATATTATATAAAAATAATATTAAAACTACTACTACTAATATTAACAAATACTACTACTACTACTACTACTAATATTAATAAATATACTAATATTAATGACAATAAACTATTATTACAAAGGTCATTTATAACAGCAATAACGTCCTATATAGCACTTTCAAAGCATGGTTCTAAATGGAACCTTATAAAAACGGTTCTATTTAGCTCCACAAACGATTCTACTATAGCTGAAGAACTCTAATTTGGCACCGTTTTTACAATTTTTTCTTAAAAGTGTATGTCAGATTTTACAAAGACTTTATTTAGCTTTTTAAGTGGTCTGCTTTTCAAAAATGTCTGTTTAAAATATAGACATTTTTGGAAAATAAATCTTAAACCACTTTTATTTTTTTTTATTCGTTTGTATCCAAGAAATAAATTAAGGCAGTGGTTCTCAATTCCTCGCATACCACCGCTCTGCATATTTTGCATGTCTCTCTTATTTTAATACACCTGATTCAGATCATCAGCTCATTAGAAGAGAGCTCCATGAATGAACTGTGTTCCGATTTACATGGTCCCTACACAGTGTTCATTGCTCCCTACTCCCTGAGCACGGGAAATCCGTTAAAGTTTACTTCACTTAGGAACATTCATCCACGGATTTGCGCTACGCCATGGCCTGCAGCATCTTAACACACAGACGAAACTTAATAGAGAAGTGTGACATAAAATACCTCTGTAAATAAATACAATTTAAATTCACGTCTCGCACACTTTAATGCTCTTTGAATGGAACATATAGCCTACGCTCTCTTCGAACTCCAGCCATCGAGTAGTCTTCCTGGGGACAGTTATCGATTTTGCCCAGATGTGGATTACGCCGGAACGCTCCCTGATAATTCAGCGGCTAGCGGCATCATTCAGACTTAGGACTTCACATCCCCTTAGGGCTTTCAGAGGATGCTCTGGGCCTGCTTCACATGCGGCCCCTCCAGTATTGGTTCAAAGCCCATGTCTCATTCCACGCTTGGTGCCTGGGACGTTTTCATCTCAGGGTAACCAACCGTTGCATCAGAGCTGTGGCCCCTTGGAAAACCCCTCGCCTGTTTCAATCAGGCAATCAGATGCCTGCAACTCGAGTTTGGGAGCTCTGTACGAGGGTAGACCAGTGTTCGGCTCCTGGTCAAACCTGGAGCAATGCTTACACATCAACTGCTTTGAGATGATGGCGGTTTATCTAGCCCTAAAAACGTTCCTGCCTGCCTGGTCCGTTTAGACAACATGACGGTGGTAGCCTTTATAAATCACCAAGGCAGTCTCAGGTCATGCTCCCTTCACAGGTTGGCTCGACGTCTCTTTTATAGCGATCTGGTCTGTCTCCGGGAGGGCAGAGGTGGACCTCTTCGCCTCAGAAGACAACTTTTACTGCCCAATTTACTTTCAAAGTAGCGAGATGCCCTGGCCCACGATTGGCCCAGCGCTCGCCTGTATGCCTTCCTCCCTGGTTGCTCTGCTTCCTCGGGTCATCAGACGTGTCAGGGAAGTCATTCTCTCATGGCTGGCCAGTCAATCAGCAGAAATGACCTTGTCATTAAAGGGTTAGTCTCGCGTAGCCAGACCTTCAGACTGATGGCTGAAGGTCTGGAATCCATGCTGAGAGGACCTCAGAGATTGAATCCGCCTTGCTCTCATACTGTGCCGACTTGAGATTTATCTATAGTCCTCAGGGACATACAGGGCCCTGCCTTCGAGCTGCTCCAGTCGGTCCAACTTGCCGCCCCTGACGCTTAAGACTGCCCTCCGTTTGTTAGCGTCGGTGGGTGACCTGCACTGTCAGTCAGTGCTTCATGCCTGAGTTTGGGCCTAAGGACTGTAGAGTCGTCCTCAAACCAAGGTATGTTCATTGTACAAGACATCACCCTTCTAACTCTTCCCAATTCAGATGATGAGCAGGGTCCTAATCCACTCTGCCCAGTTATGTTAATTTCTATTGGTGACATCTGTGCAGCCACCGGCTACCTTCACCAGGTTTATAACTTGGACGTCCCTGCCCTGCAGACATGGATTTTGTCCACTTATGTTTACCTAATTCACTTTGTAAGTGGAGAAGATTTTGTTATGTAGTCTTCAGCCTAGGTGTCTTGGGTCTCATTTTTAGCTCAGACTTATAGGAGCCCTCAGTACGAGCAGTTCAGGGCTAGGCTCGCAAACTGCCTTTGTTCTGCACTTGCTTATAGCACTGCACTATTGGATGCGTTCCCCATAAGCGTCAGAGAAGCAACCAGAGAGACCGTTCAAAAGGGAACTAAACAAACAAAGGAAACTTATGAGACTAGCATATTCTCTCCGGACCTTACGCTCCGCCTACATCCAACATCATCCGCTGGAACGTGACTCTCTCGTGAACGCGCGTACTACAGTTTGCGGACATTAGAGATCACGGTTTATAAAGTTTTAAATATGGATATTTTTCTGACAAAAAATGCATCGATTCACTTCAGGAGGCCTTTATCAACCCCCCAGAGCCGTGTAGGGCACTTTTTATGATGGATGGACAAAGTTTATTGGACTTCTATTGGACTATTGAATATTACCACCCATTCACTGCCATTATAAAGCTTGGAAGAGCCAGGACATTTTTAAATATAACTCCGATTGTATTCGTCTGAAAGAAGAAAGTCATATACACCTAGGATGGCTTGAGGGTGAGTAAATCATGGGGTAATTTTCATTTTTGGGTGAACTTCCCTTTAAGTGGGTATGGAACACAAAACCGATTTTGAGCATTGTTACTTAAAATACCTAATTTTGGCATCATTTACAAAGCATGTGTCTCTTCACATATTCCTAGCTCAAAATGTCAAAATAGTTGAAAACAAAGATTTTTTTTTCCAAAAAACAAAAGCCCTGTAAACCTTAAGATTTAATACAGTAATGAATTTAGAGATTTCTTAGTTTAGAGAACAACGTTGTGTTTCAAGTTTATGTGATTAAATATTCCATTTTTAAAAACCCCTTCCTGCTTTTCAAGTATTAGGTTTCAAGGTGAGGACTGTAAGAACAGCCCTGGCAAGCAGAAAGCTGCATCCGGTTTGGTGTACAGATAGTCTATACACTTCATTTGCACACACACACACACACACACACACACACACACACACAAACAAACAAACAATGTTTAAACATTCGAGAATGATCATTATCATCCTTGGAGCAAGACATTTACTTAAAAAAATTAAACGAAAGAAAGAAAAACCTCTAAACAATGACCATACTCAAAATAAATATAGAAATTTTAAAAATTCAAAATATATTGCTGTTTAAGCTAATACATTGAGTAAAATTGGATAATTTGAAGCCATTATTATTATTATTATTATTATTATATTAATTCCTTTTGAGAGGGTATTGTCCCAGTGGCAGCTTTCTCTCTCTTTCTCTCTCTGGTTATAGCGTGTGGCAAAATCTGTTTAAAATATCTCTGTTATGTATAAGGGGTCCATTAGATGTCTTGGAAACCTTCAAGTTATGCTAAAACCAAAAGATGAGAAAAAAATGCTTTCTTCATGTGTGATTAAATGAAGTGTCATTATAGAAATGTTTGGTTTTTCATGCATGAAGGGGCCTTAGGTCAATCAATGACTATCATGCCTAGATAAGAAGCCTGTGATGTAGGCCTAAGCTGTGCTTAAAAAAAAACCGAGATTAGTTGAGATAAAGCGCCTGATAACGTCGAAACCGTGTGAACTGATACCCATAATTTAAAAGCATTATCAGAAAATCTTAAAGAGAGGTTTGTAGGCAGATCACGGGGCTTTGAGACCCAGCCGGCGGTTTCCGCTGCTGCTGCAGTTGGTTTGGGTTAGAGCTGCGGTTACGCTTACGGGGTCTGTCGCAGACTTATTTTGTAGCCTTAAAAGCATTGATGTTATGTTGCGTTCGGGATTTTTGACTGACAAATATAACTGAGGAATAGTTT